AACGTCAAATTTATATATTATCCTAGTCATTTTCCGGTTCCAGCCGATATTGAGAAACGGAAATTCGGAACAGCTCTTAAAACAATAGCAGTCGTTGCAGATGAGCCACCACGTCAAACAATTCTGTCCGTCCAAAGAAACTTTAACAAAAAGACTGCAGTAGCAAACCCCAGATATTCGGGCGACCAGAGGACCGTTAACAGAGTAAAAGCTTATAGGAAGCCAGCCCAGAATGCAGAAACCAAAATCTTTAACTGATTTTGAACTGCCAGAGTTGATGAAAGTGACACATGGTGGCTAGAGCTTCCTTCGTTCTCACTCTGGACCTAATGATACGGAGCGAATATTGGTTTTCACCACTCTTGCAGGACTTGATCTTCTTAGTGTCGCTGACGATTGGTTCTGCGATGGAACCTTTTCAACAGCCCCTAGTGTGTTCTTTCAGATATGCACGCACCGCAACATTCACGAATCAGTCTGGAAGCACTGCATAGAGATAGGAATGCTGATCACTATGCAGTGCTTCCAGACAAGAAAAAAGAATTTTATATTCATTTTTTGATCTGTTTCGACACAAAATTTCCCAAACTAGTAGCCATTGATTTCGAAATAACAGACAAAAAAAAACGTTCAACTCAAAATCCGAAAATGTACAAACTAAATACTGCTATTTTCATCTGTTCTAAAGCGTCGGGCGTCACATTCAGTCAACTGGGAATACAAACAACTATGAACTAGATCTAGGGTTCCGCGAGCATGTCCGAATGCTACTAAGTACGGCTTTCTTGTCAGAAACTGTAGTTTCTACTGCATTTGAAACTGTTTAGAAGACATGCCCTGAGATGAGAAACTTTGGGGAAAATTACTTAGATCGAGTCTCGGCGGCAAATGGGGCACTTCACAAATCCAGATTCGACGTCGACAGCTGGAATTGTCATAAAGGTGTTATAAACGATGGTCGGAAAACCATCAAAGCTGTTGAAGTCATATCGAACTTAACAGAATCACAAAATATATAATTTTGACGAAATAAAAACTTTCATTGAACACACTTTTGTTTGAATGAGAAAAAAATTTGGATTAGAAGTTAACAATTACAAATTAAATGAACAATATGGGAAAAAAGTTAAGGTGATTCTCTCCTAATGTTGTGATTTAAAATATTGATTTAAATTCACTTGGAAGGCATATAAAACGAAAGGAAAAAAAAAGAAATAAAAGTTTTTTATTTACATAATTATGAAATAATACGTTGATTTAAACAAGGTGAAAAGCCGAGGGTTAATTTTTAATAGTGTCTTTTGGCAACTATAGTAACTAAATTTAAAATCAATTAAAAATATATAAATGTTTTTGACAGATAAAATTTTCCATCAATTAGCGAATATAACTTTGCCAAAACTAGACATAAAATTATTTTGCCAAACCTAGACATGAGATATCATAGTGTCTTTTTTATTGCTTTCGAGTTCATGCGTACATGGAAAATTTATTATCAAATAAAAATAATTAAATGCTAGTTCATGATGCATATGCATATTTTCAACATCGAATTTTAACAGATACCTCAATCTCGTGTCGATGTAATTTATCTAAATGCAAGGGACGTGTGCGCACTTTTCAAGAGAACGTCAAATTTATATATTATCCTAGTCATTTTCCGGTTCCAGCCGATATTGAGAAACGGAAATTCGGAACAGCTCTTAAAACAATAGCAGTCGTTGCAGATGAGCCACCACGTCAAACAATTCTGTCCGTCCAAAGAAACTTTAACAAAAAGACTGCAGTAGCAAACCCCAGATATTCGGGCGACCAGAGGACCGTTAACAGAGTAAAAGCTTATAGGAAGCCAGCCCAGAATGCAGAAACCAAAATCTTTAACTGATTTTGAACTGCCAGAGTTGATGAAAGTGACACATGGTGGCTAGAGCTTCCTTCGTTCTCACTCTGGACCTAATGATACGGAGCGAATATTGGTTTTCACCACTCTTGCAGGACTTGATCTTCTTAGTGTCGCTGACGATTGGTTCTGCGATGGAACCTTTTCAACAGCCCCTAGTGTGTTCTTTCAGATATGCACGCACCGCAACATTCACGAATCAGTCTGGAAGCACTGCATAGAGATAGGAATGCTGATCACTATGCAGTGCTTCCAGACAAGAAAAAAGAATTTTATATTCATTTTTTGATCTGTTTCGACACAAAATTTCCCAAACTAGTAGCCATTGATTTCGAAATAACAGACAAAAAAAAACGTTCAACTCAAAATCCGAAAATGTACAAACTAAATACTGCTATTTTCATCTGTTCTAAAGCGTCGGGCGTCACATTCAGTCAACTGGGAATACAAACAACTATGAACTAGATCTAGGGTTCCGCGAGCATGTCCGAATGCTACTAAGTACGGCTTTCTTGTCAGAAACTGTAGTTTCTACTGCATTTGAAACTGTTTAGAAGACATGCCCTGAGATGAGAAACTTTGGGGAAAATTACTTAGATCGAGTCTCGGCGGCAAATGGGGCACTTCACAAATCCAGATTCGACGTCGACAGCTGGAATTGTCATAAAGGTGTTATAAACGATGGTCGGAAAACCATCAAAGCTGTTGAAGTTTGGAATAGATAATTCGTTTAACCCGTGAACTCCAAGCACCTATCATTTCTAAAACTCAATAAAAAAATTCCAAGGTGAACTGAAAAACGCCAAAACTTTGATCAAAAAAGGTTTGCTGGGCAACAATTGTCAGTTTAAAAAAACCTTTTTGTCATTTTTGACAAAATTCTTTTCTAAGTTGAGTTGCGGCTGACGACTCCTGAGTTTCCAAAGAGAGTGCAGCAGCAACATTAGACTATGATTCAAAATCAATCATTTTCCTAAGCTTATTTTTTCAAGCAATTATTTTCAATAAGTTTTCTACTCGAACTTTTTCTTAGAAATTTTCGAAATTTAGCTGAACCCGTTTTGAAAACGGCAAAAAGATTAATGTAACTAAGCTTTTCTCTTTTGGCCCAATCGAGTCAACCCATTTCAAGTTTGCCTTAACTTGCCCGATTTTGGTTTTTTCAATTTCAAATTTTCACCAAATCACGATCATTTTTGTCGGAACAGAGATTTGCACTTCGGAGCTTGTGATCTTGAAACCAGTGACTGAACCGCTGGCACAAACACGCTTTTAAATTTCACAAACGCGCTTTTAAATTTTTTTTCTCGAAAGTTTTGTCTCGCTTTGACTTCTCCATGGTTATTTGGTACGCATATAATCTAATTATAGAACGATCAAACAAACGCAAAAAAAAACAAAAAACAAAGCATTAAAGATCACAAGTAATTAATTTCGCAAATTCTAGGATAAAATTGTCAGGAACATTAATTTTTTTGTACGGAATGATTTGTCAAGGACAAATGTCTATGCACCGTTAGAATGCATGTTCTTCGAAACTTATTTTTAGTTTATTTTTAGTTAAATACTATTCAGTCTTGGTACAAGTAGCACAAATAGTTCCGAAAGCAGAACCGTTTTCTAAATTTTGTTGAACTTTATCTTGGAGGGGAGGGACGGAGCAGAAAGTAATCTTGGAGGGGAGGGACGGAGCAGAAAGTAATCTTGGAGGGGAGGGACGGAGCAGAAAGTAATCTTGGAGGGGAGGGACGGAGCAGAAAGTAATCTTGGAGGGGAGGGACGGAGCAGAAAGTAATCTTGGAGGGGAGGGACGGAGCAGAAAGTAATCTTGGAGGGGAGGGACGGAGCAGAAAGTAATCTTGGAGGGGAGGGACGGAGCAGAAAGTAATCTTGGAGGGGAGGGACGGAGCAGAAAGTAATCTTGGAGGGGAGGGACGGAGCAGAAAGTAATCTTGGAGGGGAGGGACGGAGCAGAAAGTAAAGCTATACAAAAGCGTTTTCGTCGTTAGAAATAGATCAGTATCGTAAAATTATTCCCTTTTTTTTAATAGAGATTGGCTATATAAGGCGTTATTGACTCACAACCATTGCTGAAAATAAGCCTGAGAGCGAAAAATTGTTGACCACTTTTTATCGACAAGGGTGGAATTTTTTTAGAATCCAGAAGACAGCTTTAAAAAGACAGCACACTTAATTCCTTACGAGCTTTCTTTAAGGTAGTCCAGATACTACGCCATATTCCCTTCTCAATCTACAAGTGGTCGTGTCAGCAAAATTGATATTTTAAACTATCGCCCCCAAAGCAAAAACGGGAATATTCGCCACTTGGTAAAAAAAATCCGCCGTTGGTTGTCCATTTATTTAATTCTTTAAAGGGATGTTTATTCTGTAGTCTAGATAAAACGGGGAGGGGTACTTAAAGAGATTTCAGCTTTAACAGGTTTTTCTAATAGTCAAAACAGAAATAACCGAACACAAATTGATCGAAAAATCACAATTTGTCAAAAACTTCAGTCACTTTCAATCATTTCTGATTTAGAAACTTTCTTTCCAAAGAACAATCAACTGGGATGTTTTTTCACTACAATCAACCACTTCGAAAAAATCGAAGTCAATAAATCAATGGCCCAATAGTCAAATTTTTATTCAATTCACTCGTTGGAAACCTCCAATTGCTTTTTGCCCACTGAGGAATTAATTCTAGCTTCATTTATATGAACAAATTTGGACTGGATCAGAATCGGATTCGTAACCAAAACCGAAGTTTTGCCAAATCATGTCTCATGAGCTGTGTCCATAAAGGTGTTTTAAGTGGAATCTGTGAATCTTGGCATTCGTCTCCAAATCGTTTTCAGAGAACAATAAAACAATAATTGAGAAAACAAGAAAAAATGAATCAGAAAAATGAGGACCCTCTAGCCCCACAAAAAAGTTTTAGCGAGTCGATATTAATTCGTGTACCATGTAAAGCATAAAGATCAAATGTCAATTGAAAAATTTGGAATGCTGTTTTTTATTGGTTGCTTTTTTATGGCTGAATTACTGACCGAAAAACAAAAAGTAAGAATTCAATTGTCGAGATGAATTTGTGATTAAAATTTCACATCATATAACAAATAACGTTCATAAGATGATGCTCTTTCGCAGCATCGAGGATCTGGAACAGAAAGAATTGGTTATAAGCGGGACTCGCCACATAGCCTACATGGTTTTCAAGTTCGAGGCCGTTAGGCTCGCCTTGACCCCAGTTAGTCAAGTTCACCTCTCTGCCAGTGAGCTGGTCCACCCACCTTCCCTCCTCTACTGAATCGGAGAAAGCGAGCCAGTACCATCCAGTATATCTGAATAAATTATTCAAATTTTACTCAATTTTACCATTTCATTTGACGCGATTTTCTATCACAATGACTTCCATTTTGCTATTTTTCATTTTCAGTCCGAAGCCGTCATCAAAAATCTACCCTATTGTCAATTACAATAGTAGATAGGAAAAAATGAATTCGAAGCCCATAAATTATTATGAAGTAGAAAACATGATCCTGAATGCAAAAACTGAAATGAGCGTTTCTTTGCCAAAACCGCCGTATTCACAATTTAAAAGTTGGATTGCATCATTTGAAAAATTCAATTTTCTTGGATCTCTTTAAATATCCTACGTTTAGTACCTAGTAACGAATTGCCGCCCCTTTATTGAATTACTTCAACGGTTGAACATCAGTGAATTTTGTACCCAGTAAAAAATTCCCCTTCTGCAAAAAGGGGGGGGGGGCAGAAATAGAGATCCGTCAGAGAAAATTATTAAGATCTGCTTTTCTCGTCACTGATGAAACATTTGTAAAATACCTTATGAGAGGGCCAAATCATGGAAAAAACTCCTTAAGTCATAATTCCTTCTTATCAACGAGAGTCAGAACAACTCAAAGCGCCATTGACGTTTTTTGATCTCGCAGAGCTAGAGGGCACTAACATCTCGGAAGTTGGGATTGTATTCACTGCCTGTTCCACTTCTCGAGTGGAATAGTTCGGCAAAACACCTCTCATTCCTTCGCAATACTCTTTCGCTTCTTCATATGTCATTTTTTCGCTGGCAAGGTGGACAGCTTTGAACCCTAAGCTGTTCGGTCCTGTGACCCTCCACATGTCTGGATTCAAACAAGCGCCTTTCATTTCGGTCAGGTCGGGCTTATTTGGTTCGCATCGACACTGGAATCCGCCGATGACTGAGTCATCGCAATTCTGGGTCCAGTGACATAGGCTGTCGACATTGGGACACTGTAATCCACCTGTCAGGATTATGTGGCCAGCCACGTCTCTGATAAAAGATTAAAATATGAACATATACTTTAAACAACTCCTTTTAGATGGGGAAGAGGCTAAGGACTCCGCTTATCAGTCGGAAGGGTGGTGTTTGGAGACCCATCGTGGTCCGTGCCCGATGCATGTGGGTGAGTCAACAATTCTCGGCGTAATCAAATTGCCGAAAGTTTCATTTTCAAGTAGGTGTCAGTTTTAATAAAGGTTAAAACGATTTAACGGCAAGGAAAAGGACTAACAGAAGAGCTGTTCAGTTCTTCATGGAGAACCACTGATTTAACCCTGGTAAAGATATATGTGCAGTTTTTTGGCTATTTTTCTGGGCTGAATAACGTTGCCTCGCCCTCAAGCAACGAGCACGGTGGGCCTCGAACATCCAATCTTTCGATTGAGTGGTGGAGACGTAACGACTTCTTAAAGGGCCACCGCACCATGCAACAGTGTTTCTCAGTAAATAACTGAACAATTCGCATGGATCAGGTTGGTCCTTTCCTTGGCGGATAAATAAATGTCGCTTAACTTATCATAGCTAACATTGCTGATAAGCACTAAGAATCATAGAAAAATGATTCGAATCCCTTCAGAAACGCATTTGAAATCAGAACAGATCTTTAAGATCTAAAACCTAGATTTGCTTAAGCTAACTGCATCCACGTTTTTCATAATTGTTGAAGTTCTGGAAATCTCTAAGAGGAAAACGATTCATAAACAAGTCAACAGTATTTTAATGCTGCTCGATCGATAAGTTTAAAAAGGAAAACCAATTAACTTTCGAAACTTACTTGCATTTTTCCTCCGACCTCCCATACACTTGACACATCTTCACATTGTCAAAGTCTTCTATCTTGAAGTGAGTAGCATCAGTTTTGCTCAAAATCAGTCCGCAGAAATTACCTTCGGCACAATACATATAAGAGTCAGCCTTGATCATTGATGCCTTGTAATGACAAGCTGATTCTGACATTCCAGTATAGTACACGTGCAAGAGTTGTTTTCCGAACTGTTTCGGCACCAAGATCCCACAAGTGAACAGGTTATTTCTGCAATCGGATTCAAACTTCAGAGCCCATGTGACATTGTTGTCAAAGAGAAATAATAAGGCTATTAGACATTTACCCCGGTTGGCAAAATTTTTAGTTGTCATTTTAGTCTTAAGACCAAGCAATGCAATTGAACATAATTTCTGTTAGATTTTAGTAGGTTTTAAACTAATCTTTCTAATATTAATTGAACACATTTCTGGAAGAAGACTTCTGACGCCAAGCCGGAAGAAGAGTTCAGTTTCAAAGAGAATTTTTGATTGAAATTGGTTGCTAAATGAAGACCCTTCACAAAAATTCCTGAACAGCAGGACAATCTATTATTTAAACGCAATGACAATTCCTCTATAGACGCATGGTACGAGCTGACTTTACAAGGAGCGACGGCTAACGGCAATCGTTAGGTACAATCTTTTATTTTTGAAGGAGGCCTTCTTAAGGTCCAAGCCGAATGTATAGACAGTCATTTTGAATTTTCAAGAAACATGTGCATTTAATTTTAGATTCGAATGAATATTAATGAATTTAAAATAACTTTTTCATTTTCGGCTCTTTCCCATTATAAAAGCATCCCCAGCAGATGAAACTTCCTCGTAAAAGTATTAACTCAGCGTTGAAAAGACTGAGTTTTGGTAACTAGAATGGGGGAGGGTTCTCATGCTTGAAGGACCGAATGCTTGAAAAATTTCACTCAATCAAAATCGCCAAGCGTTTCTATTGGCTAAATGCTTTCTCACAAAACCGAAGTCAATATTAACAAAACATGTAATAAATTAGTGGAAAATAATCAAAAATATTTACAAATTGCGGGTTACAACCGCAATACTATTAAGATATCATCATGATTAATGAGGTCAAAATCATAAGAAGTTTTCAGTCTTGAAATTTCATCTGCTTGTTAACTAATCGGTCAGTATTAACACTAATGGCCTGGATTTATTTTCTTACTTGGAGATTTTCAAGATTTACTTTGAGATTTTGAATACTCAATTCTGATTGGCTGAAAGTAAGCTAAAATTAATTTCAAGCATTCGGTCCTTTAAGCATGAGGGACACCACCACTAGAATGGAATGACCATAATTATTCCAACTACGTCAATAAAACGGAAACTTATTTAGATCAACCGTACATTCCCCCCAAATCGATTTAGGGGAGAAAATATGGATTTTTCATAAGCTAACTTTGATTATAGCCTAGATTCGGTCAAAAAAGACCGTATTACTATAGAAAATTGAACTGAAACATTAATTTGTGTAATTTACAGCATACAAAAGCAATGCTGCATAAAAATGTAAAACGAATTTTATTTGCGCGCTTGTATGAAATGCATATTTTGATACAGAAACAATTCTCAGAATTAATACACGCTTGGGGAGGGCATTCTACGACCTTTTTTGTAAGTCGACCAAATTGATTTTCTGAGCTCTGCCAAAGCAGTAATTAGACGCTGTTTTGGCCAAACTTTCTGCGCCGCAGGCAAAAAAAAACAGGTAAAAAAGCTGTTTTTGGGCACTTTTAGGAAAATTTTAAATTTTGACAAAATCGCGTCTTTTTGCGCGCACTCCCCCTCAAAAATAGTATTTAGAAAAATTTTAGGTTCGGTCGGCCAAAAATAGATTTCTTAAAAAGTTCTAAAAGCCCGCCCCCTAAATCCGCCCCTGACCCACATCAAGCTATCAAAACACTATTTTCTACTCGCAAATTCGAGCCATCAAAACAACTTCAAGTGTTTCGAAGTTTTACCGCCTAAATAGTTCGCTAAAAAGATAACCTGCAGATACATTTACGAAAGAGTCATGATTAACATAAGGAAATAAAGAAATGTTTTTCGAATTTCAAAAAAATATATGGCTGTTTGAATTTCAAGCTGTTTGCTGCATTTAAAAATGATTTATGTTTGACACTCAATTTGAGAAAATTGGATCAAAAGGTAAAGTTGTTATTCCGGCGCTGGGAAATCTGAAAATTAAATTCCATTTTTGAAACTAGAAGTCGATCATGCTTTTCGTGACGTTTTAACTTTTGCTGTTCGATAGTAGAGTTTGCCGTACTTTTAACAAAGGTAATAAACTGAACTTAGAAAGAAATAAAAAGTCAAACCACAAAAAGTCTTGTTTTGAGCGTGAATAATTATCGTGACTTTTTACTGAAAAAAGTACAAACAAAAAATTACCAAGACCTATGCAAGAGTTTTGACTACATTGATGATTATTAAAAACTAAGCCCTCATCGAACCAAAGATAGCCACTAAAACAATGAAGGTTTCAGCGAACCAATTCAAGTCATCAAAAAACCTTCAAGTTTTAGCGATCCGGTTGAAGCTTTCAAATTAACCGAAAATGTTTCCAAGTTTCATAAATCATGAGCTTAATCATTGCTCCCATAGAGCTTATGAAATTAAATGATTGATTATTTCGTAATCGAAAACCAAACTTCGGCTCATCGATTCTTTATCACTTTGCTTGTGAATTTGCAATCTACAATTATCGATCCTTTATCACTTGGCTCATGTCAGCATTTTATTAAAGCAAAATTGTTACAACAATATAAATAATTGTATAATAACTCACGTTTTTCATTCCGCGGGAAACTCCCAAAAAGTGAGTCGCAACTCAGATCTTTTCAAGTTCAAGAAAAAGAAAACTTTCGCGTTATTTCCAAATGTAGTTTACTTGGTTTGTACTTGGTAAATGAAGCTCAAAAACTTCAGAAAACTGCATCAATAACTACTTTAATCTAATTTATTGTTCATTGCCGCTTAATCGAAACTCAAAGAACTTCGGAAATTATGAACAAGAAAAATAAAAAATAAAAATTTTTCAAATCATTTATAGTGATTTCCAGCAAATCTCAGCACTATCTTCTTAATTGTCTCGTGTTTAACACTAACTAAATCATTCACAAACGGTGATATAAATCAAAAGAATAAATTTAGGCGAAATAAAACTCATATTGACTACATACGAATCCAAAAACATTTTATTACGAAGCATTTTTGAGAAAACTTATCATAACAAAGACAAAGGGAAACCAAAATAGTGGAGGCCTGAAAATGAAAAGATTATTTAAACAAAATTGGTGCCTAGCAACTCATATATGCAAATTTTACATATGCTAAATTGATTTTAAAAGCTTTTCAGCACTGAATATTAGAATCATCCCAAAGACAAAATTTTTTCAAAGAAAAGTAAAGAGTAGCCGCTATGTGGAAAAACAAGTTAATTCGATTGAACCCTTCATCTCAGATTTGAAAGGGTAGTTTCTAAATAAAGTAAAATATAAACAGTAGAAAACTTTACTTTCCGAAATCCATACCTGTTTGACAAGCCTAGACTTAGTAAAACTTTGCTACGTATGGGCTTTGAAGCCGCGACCTCGAGAATTGGAGTCTCACGGCCTGGCGTCTCGGCCACGAACGCTTAACAAATTGCCAATCCCAAGCGACAAAAGTGGCACCAAAAACAAATAATCTTAATTTTGCACGTAAAAGTTTGGAATATAACAAACTGAAAGCATCCACACTAACTTTGCATGTAATAAACTGGAAAGCATAAAGCCACATTATGTATAAATTAAACATTTCAAAAAAACTGCGAGATAAATTGAGATAGAAAATTTCTGAAATGAGTTTTTATGATTGTTTAGTTGTTCGAAACAAATAGCTTTTTTTTGGTATATTTGACGAAATAAAAATGCATCAACTGCGTTAACTTATTACCATTCGAATGTTCAAGCACATGCTATCAAAAAGCCGTAAAGGTGCCTCAAAAGTGACACAAATATTTGCGAATTAGGTTAGAAAAAGAAGAAAAATAGTAGTATAACAGTAACGCTCTCTAATTTTCGTTAGTGTAAAAAGTTTGAAGTGCACCCTGGAACTACAATGATCAACATTTGCAAATTCTATGATACTGCTCACAGCACAAGGAAATCCATGATGCGGCACCTAAGTTGACAGAACTTGAGCAGTCAAACAATAATACGACAATTCAATTTTTACCGGAAAAATACAAGGTCTGACTGCGACTCGAACCACAAACCTGATGGTACAAAAGGACTTTTTACCTCTAGACCAAGTGACAAACACTCTCGAAGTTGCTCAGGTTCACTTTAAAGAAACTACTTTCTAGTAAACAAAGTTGATAACCGGAGAAAAAGTTTTGTTGAAGATTACAAGGCACTTGCTCTCGCAAGTGTAATTACAACACAATTTTGAAGTTCCACTGCCCCAGTTCAAGAGAAAAAACATAGCCAACAAAAATTTGAAAATTACTGACTTGTTTAAATAACTTCCATCGTTCGCACTTAGAAAACATGTTAAAGCTCTTTTAATTTCAAAAATAATTAATGCTGTGAACTTCCTTCATAAAATTAACCCAATTTGAGATCAACCCAACTATGTGAACGCATTTGTTTTTATTCTGCTCGGAAATTCAAACCCACTTTTCTTCGCGCTATGTGAACTTCCGTAATTGGAGTGTAACGTTCTTTCCTTTTAGCGAAACACTTTGAATTGAGCTAACAAAATCAAAAACCAACAGAGATTCAAAGCTTCGCTTCGCAAACACTTGCGAGAACACGACAAAAAGCAGCTCTACAAAAAGCAATAATAAAAACAAGCCTCGAATTAGTAAAAATTTTACCAACTCCGATCTTCGAACATGCGACCTAGAGAATGAGAGTCTCTCACACTAACCACGGAAATTCAATGGGCACCAAACACTAACCATAAATAAAGCTAAAAGAGATGCTATGCAATAACAATGCTACATAGAAACTTCCAAATAGGAGAACACGTTTATTTCCGAGTTAGGTTTAAAAAAAATAAGGTGCGTAATAATACATTAAGCTGATCGCAAGTATAAAAAGATAAACAGAAGTCAAAACTCGATTCAACTGCGGCGCAAACTACTTTCTCTTTTTGCTGAAAAAAGGAAAGAATCCACACGACTATATATTGTCTTCACTACGTTTCTTGACGTTACATCAATACTAAAACGTTATGGAGCAAGAAAGCCTCAAATATGCTACCAATCGAATATTAAAGATTGTAGTCAAATTACAAAGGAATCAGCACAATTATTACACTAGCAAGAACGTTGAAATATTTCCATAAATTTCATAGACCGAATGGGTTTGCAATAAATTTGTCTAAGCAAGGTTTAAAGCTATGAAACTTAAAATACTTCTTATTTTTCATAGACTAAATCAATTCGTGAAAAATTTGTTTACAAAAACAGCTCTATAAAGTGCAGTAGGAAAAAGTAGAAATAAGCCTAGAATTGGTAAATATTCGGCTAGATCTCAGATTCGATCTGCGACATTCGGCGACCCAGAGAAAATCAGTCTCACGTACTAACCACTCAGCCACGGACGGGGTGGATCTAAGATTTTCTTGGAGGCGGGTCGGATTTTTTTAAGCCGTTCAAATTGATTTTCCGAGCTCTACCAAATCATTAAAAAGACCCCATTTTGACCAAATGTTCTGCACCGCAGGCAAATTTTTGAAAACAGGCCGAAGGGTTTTTAGTCACTTTTTGGAAAAATTCGAACAAAAAATAGTTTTTTCGGCGCGCGCTTCCCACTCAAAATTAGTATATTTTTGCGCCGATGGCGCCTTTACAAAAACTTTACAGTCAGTTATCCAAAAATGGATATGACATAATAGTACAAAGGGGTGACCCTTTGCGTCGTCAGGAAGTCGAATCACTGAAAGGGGAGGGGACGGCGTTCGCTCACCCTCTAAATCCGCTGGTGGCCACGGACACTTAATTAATCACAAACACTAGTCCCAAACAAGCAGAGAACAGATGCTATAAAATTTCCAAAGCTACAGATTGTGATTATAGCAAATATGCCACCAAATTATGAACACTTTTATCTGCGAGTTAGGTTAGAAAAAATAAGGTTCGTACTAATACACTAACGCTCGCAAGTGTAATTACTATAATAACTATCTGAAATAAAACCAAATTTTACAGAAATGAAAAATTAATTTTGAGTCCAAAAGCAAAAGAAAAAAGTTTATTTTTCAGGCATGAAGATGAGTTCTCCTGAGTCGACAACATTTCTTGGAAGTTCAATAAGTCAGATATTTTTTCAGATATGAAGATGAGTTCTCCTGAGTCGACCTTTCCTGGAAGGTGCAATTTATCAGAGGGCATTCATCAGAATCTAAACAGAACAAAACTCAACAGAAACAGAAAACTGCCTGTTTTCACGAATACTGGTAGATATACTCGGATTTTTAAAACTTCAAGAATTCCAAAATTTGATATCAAGAAACTTTTTAAACACATATATTATTCAGTTCTCATCGAGAAAAGCTTAAGATAACATACCATATCCTTTTTTCTAGCTACTCTCGTGAGTGGCTTTGTGTCTGTTGTAGTTCTCCTCGCTCGTGAAAAACTTTTGGCAGGTCACACACTCAAACTTCAGGCCCTCCTCCACCTTTTGAAGGTTTCCGATAATTGAATTGGCACATTTTTTAACCATAGTTAAATGGTTCAAAAAATCAGTAATAAGCTCATTGGAATCAAACTAACTATATGATTCTGCAGGAAAATACTGAAGCATTCGCCTCGTTTAACTCATCATCGATATTTCAAAACAACTGAAAAACTGTGATATTACGTAAGAATTCGGAAAAATCAATTATTGCGGTTCTTTATTTAATTTGTGAAAGTTTAAATCAGACAGTTAAACATGGAAAAACTTTGAACGACAATTTAATTTCGGAAACATCTTTGTGTGATTTCATGTGACTTCTGTAGGAATTGCCCCAGGCCATAGTCTTCCCACACAACGAGCACTCGAACGGCTTTTCACCCGTATGGGTGCGCATATGTCTCTGTACGTCATACTTGGTAAGTCTCGTGGCCGGACAATAAGGACACGCGTATTTCCTAAAAGCTCAAAAAGGTGGGTCACTTCTATTATACAGTATTTGCTGTTCCATAGTGGAAATTGCCTTCCTTGTACGAAAAGAAATGTCAAATTTCAGAAATAAAATTTAAGCGTTTGAAAAAAACTCATCAAGACCTACATAAGTTACAATCACTTCCTTCCTTTAACCTTAATTGGTTGGGGGAATTGAACCTTGATTTTAACCTAATTAAACGCTCGGAACAAAACAAGCTTATTGAATAAGCAAATATCAGTGAACAAACCTGGGGAAAAGAAATCAAATCGCAAAATTTAACATTTAACGGGAACAGAATACAACAGTAAAAAAGCGAAAAAACAGAAATAACCTAGAAAAAAATATAACGTTCATTTACACTCAGAACATCTTGGCAAACAAATTCAACAAGACTATCATTCAAATAGACTAAATCAAACAATTAAAACAAATAGTTTTCCAATACCTCAGTCTCCCAAAAATTTCTCTCAAAAACGCGATAAAACAATGTAATATAAACATCCAGCAATAAAAACATAATTAAAGCAAAGAATGAATTCTGAAATGAAAAAATCAAAAACATACTTTGTTTTATTTCATCCAGAAAACACTAGAGGAAGCAACGAACGCAAAAAAATCCACGTAATACACACAAAACTCTTCTCCTTCAGCGCTATCATAAAAGACAGCTTAAAAACTTAAGTGTTGTTTGTGAATTATAAATAGATTGCCATTGGTTTATGATTTCACAAAAAACCACTGCTTATGCTTTTCAGAATGACGAATCTTTTATTGGAAGAATTCACCAAATTTAAACTGAAACTCATAGAAGATGCGCCGCAAGTTACAAATAAGGTCCTTAAAAAAAGTCGCCACAAATAACTAAAAAATCAAATAAAATTTTTAAAAATCTTTTCGTTCATTTCATTAAATAATCGACACATTGGAAGTTCTGAAATCTAGAAAATCAAAAACAAATTTTTTGTTCATTGATTTGAAAAAATTACACCTTGTAAGCCCTCAAATCTTTTTTTAAGCTGAAAAAGGCACGAGAACTCAAATAGAGCATCAAGTTGATATAAAAGGAAATGATAAAGCTGAAACACTAACTAAGCTGATACAAACAGAAAAAAAAGAACACAAAAAAAAACATTCACAAAATTCATCTAAAAGTTTTCCACTAGATCAATCTGTAATAGTCTCCTTGAAAGTAACTCAATGATTAACACAGACGCAAGGCTGCGCTTCGCAAACACTTGCGAGAACACGACCAAGAAGTAGCTCTATCAAATGAACTAAGAAAAACTAGAAATAAGCCTCGAATTGGCAAAAACTCGGCTACGTGTCGGATTCGAATTTACGATCTAGCAAATTTGACTCTCATGCACTAACCTCTCAGCCACGGATGCTGAAAGTCCCCATAAACTAGCCACCAATAACGCAGCTACATATGCTAATAACTTGCCAATTCGATGTAGAAAAAGTAGCACCAAATACAAAAAGACACACTTTTTTGCATGTAATAAGTTGGAAAGCATAAAATCCAAATTACATAAAAACTATGCATATCAAAAAAATTGGGAGATCTATGGAGTTGCAAAATTTCGCAAATCGAGCTTCATATTATTGTACTATAACTTTTTCGTTTCATTTGATGATATGAAAATGCATCAGCTGTATTAACTTTTTACTAATCAAATGTCGAAGTACATCTGATATTACAGTGCTACCACAGCCAACCGATTTAAAAGTGCCACCAAAAGCAACACTTTTATTTCCGACTTAGGTTGGAAAAAAAGAAAGTTCATACAAATACAATTTGTTTCGCAAGCGTAATAACCACTTAATAAATAAGAAAAATGTTTTCGTGAAGTAAGCCGACAGAGTAAGACCTAAATCCAAAAAATTGAATGCAAAAATCATTTTGCAATTCAAAAGCACGAAAGGACCAGAAAATGCATAAAATCCAATTCAATCCACTAGTATCAGATTTAAATTACTCAAAACGTTTAATAAAAAATTAGGCAAAAATACTTATTTGATACAAGTACATTGCTTGATGCCAGTAGCGTTTTAGATTTATGTAAGTGTTAGAGGAAAAAATTATTGTTGACATTTATGAGACATTGGATATCACAAGTGAAAATAATTGTGAAAGGGTAAAGGAAAATGAACAACTAGAATTTGAGGAAAAAACCACTTCAACAAAAATATAATATGTACAGCTTTCATAGCTTCACCCATACTATACGACTGACGCCGGCAAAATTACTTGCGCTGTAATACCGCGGATAAACCTCATGAAACTTAACTAAACTGGCCTACAGACAGTTGGAAAACGTCAAAGAAAACCGAAATAAAAAAATGAAGAACCTTTTAGGAACAAATTACTGTCTAAAATTTGGACTTTTGCTATTCGAGAGCGTACTATTGCTTCCTTTGTAGCTGAGCTTCGCCTCACTTGCGATACAAAACAAGAAAGCCGCTAAGTCGAAAAAAATCAAAAATGGCGAAAAAACAAGATCAATCAAAATGAATAAAAATAGTTTTAAAAAAATGCCCAGACAATAGAATGTGAAAATAGCAACGGAAAAAATTTCAAAGCTGTAACAAAGACGAACACAAAAAATCAACACGTTTTAAGACTTGTAAAAATTTAATAAGTCACCCTCCTCCTTAAAACACACATATGACAAAGTTAAATGAAAAAATATGAGGCCACTAAATCAATATAATTTGGACCGAAACGTATCGAGCCGGAAAAAATTTAAAAAGCCGAAAAAATTCAACAAAAGTAATTAAGTTGTTAAGTCTGGAGGAGCGCAAAAAATTACGTTTGCATTGAAACAACTCAAAAATAGGACACTTAGTCGATTAAATATAAGCCGAAATCATTTGGTCAGAATAAAATTTTAAAGCGATAAAAAAAATTAAGAACTCAAGACTAAAAAAATTACATACAGCAGAAAAAATAAAAACACTAAAAGCAACTACAATGTAACTTGCGAACAAAAAACTCTATGATGCGGCAACAAAGCCGACAAAACATAAGCAGGCAAAGAATAAGCCGACAATTTAATTACCGTTTGAACCTAGGACCTTTGTTGTCAGATTCGAACCGACGACATTTGTCGTCCCAGTCGTATTCGTTACCTCCAGACCAAGTGAGCCGGACACACAAACAAATTTAAATTTATTATGAACTAAACATAAGTTTACCATTTCTAATGTTGACCATTCTGTGAACAAAGTTATTTACGGGAAAAAAGTCTAGTACCCGATTACAATACCCTAGCTTATCGCTATGGTAATAAACATAAAAAGAAATCAAAAATCAAGCCGCGAAAATACTAATTTGAGCATAAACCACTTTTTAGACTTTTTCCTGAAAACAACAACACTTAATTATTTTCTCTTTGTGTTATTTTCTCTTCGTTCAAGACGCTTAAAAACAAGAAACACATGTGCGGATTCGAAACACAATTAAGTGTGCATAACTTAATTAAGTGTGCATAAGTTATACACAGGTGAGACTTATGCAATATAGACGAAATTTGGGTGAGCAAGGAAAACATTTAATACTCACATCTGCTTGGTGTGAGAAAGAATGTGTGCTTTCAGAGACGACCCACGGTTGAAAGTTTTTCCACAAATGTTACAGGCGAATGCTCTTTCCTGTCAACAGGGTTACAACATAATACTAATGAGGAGTCGCTGAAAAAATTCCCAGCTAGGGTATTCCCAGGTGGGCATAGGTTTCCACCAAGTATTGTTATAATAAAGAAAGACATCAACTATCCCTGGTAGGCATAGTTTTCCACCAAATAATGTAATAATAAAGAAAGACATCAGCTATCCCAGAAAGAACGCGAAGAAGACGAATGTCCACGATGCGAAACCTCAAGCGCCTTAATCAGTTTTGTTCTAATGAATGATTGTATTAGCCCTGCCTTGGTATGTGTGAGTGAGTGCATTTTCAAACTTCCGTTTTTCTTGAACCGCTTGCCACACTCATTGCACCCAAATGGCAGCTCCTCTGAGTGGGTTCTTTTATGATGAGCCAGAGCACCTGAAGTAACTCAAATCTATGAATTATATACTATATATTTAAAACATAGATGCGAAGCACTGCTTCGCATCAGTCGAGCCAAAAAAAACAGCTTTTACACAGGAGCGTTGCGTAGGCGAGCGGAGAAAAGATGACTTAAAAAGACGATAAAGATGCGTTACAGATGATATAAAAATTGCTCTGAAAAAAAAAACGATAGAACTTCAGCATTCAACCCGATACGATTTGCGAAAAAATGAGAACAAATTGAACTGTTTTGACAAATTTGTATTATGATTAAAATGTATTTGAACAATATTATACAAAACTGATTTACTAACATGTGCACAACCGACGAATACAAAACTGATTGAAAATATAAGCATAATATCGTGCATTCTATCGCGTTTATATCAATTTGAGGTGACAATAGAAAAAAAAAGAAGAGGACAAATTTTATTGTGCGTAGAACTTTACCAGGATCAAAATGGTTCACCTTATTTTGGGAGATTCAAAACCAAAATTTTACCCCAAAAACAGGTCACTTTGGCGCCATTTATTTAGTCACAAACTACGCTAAAACTAAAAGGTTAATTGACGAAAGGATTATTTTAAACTGAACCTTTTCCCTTCGAATCTTCCAAAATAAATTGAACCATTTTAATCCTGGTAAAAGAAAATTCTGTCCTTCTTTTTTGTCTTATGTCCACCCAAATTGAGAAAAACTTCATTAAAGTTTGTATATTTATTTATTTATTTCCGTAAAATTTAAATCAGTACCGTAGTAGTTTCAATTATAGTTTATGCCAAATTGTTGGCACTGTCGGTGACTTTGAGCATCTCAACAGTTCAAAAACTATTGCGTTTTAATTCATTAATTAGATTAACTAGCCTGTTACGCACCTCCAGTGTTACGAAATACTGGCGAATCATAAAAACGGCATATCTCAGAAATTAGAAAGATTTGAGCATTCCTATTTGGAAGCAAGATTTGCAACCCCTGAAAGTACCCTGATAGGAATGAATATTTCACACTTTGAGCTTGAAACAGATTAATGGCCGTGCAAATAGCTTATATATAAAATATATTAGAAATCAGCAAAACGATGGCAACCGTAACAATAGACGGGGCATCCTATAACGCTTTTTATTTCAAAATTGAAGTATAAAAAAACATCAACTTAAATGTTTTTCAGATCCTCGTATTCTTAACTCTGAAACAACCCAAAAATGACAAAATGCACAAACAAACTCACTATGCAAAAAAAACTCATCAAATTCAAAAAGAAATTCTTGTTTAATTTATTTCTCCATTTTACATAAATCATTTGCTGCCATCAGTCGTTTAAATCCAGCGTAATAGACTTTAAAATATCACTTTAACTTTAAAATAGTTTACATTTTAGTTTGAAGAAAGTTTTTGAACTCAAATTGGGATGTAGGCCATATCTTCAACTGCTGATAGTAACCTAATAGCCCAACAAAGGGTCGAAAAAATCAAAATTTGAACATTTAAAAAAAAATTATTATTTCCAAAACTTGAATAAAATTAAAATCGTCATATCTAGGTCATTAAAAGGCGTTGAGCAATCTCACTTGAAAATCAGATAAAACCTCCCGAGAAAACCTTCGCAGCGCCCCACCATAGTGATGAGAATTTCAATTTTTGAAATTTTTGTAGAACTAAGTTTTCCAAAAAGTTTTGAAATAAAAATCTCATATACCAGAAACTAAGATAATTTTAGCAGTCAAAACTGAAGACAAAATTTGCAATTTCTGGTTGAGAATTTCATATGGTTGAGAATTTCATATGGTTGAGAATATGGTTCAACACTATATGGTTGAGAATTTCATATTTTTGATTATTTTTCCAAATCAGATTTGTTGAAAAACTGTTTAAAAAACCATGAAAACGTCAATGCTTGAAACTTGAAAGGTGTTAAGCAGTCAAATTTGGAGGCAAAAATTGCATCCACTGAGAATTCTCTGAAAGCACCCCACTAAAGGATTGGGAATTTCCATTTTTTTTAAAGTTGTTTCAATTCCAGTTTTTTTTGAAAAATATTAAAAACACCATATCTATGAAACTTAGAAAAAAATTAACCAATCAAATTTGGAGGAAATTGCCTGCGACCAACCTGACAGCTCCCAGCTATAGGGTTCTGAAATTCCCAATATGGGAAAATCATTACAATTCAGTTTTTTTAGAAACTATCGAAAAAATCATAAAAAAGTCATACCTCGGAAACTGAAAGAATGTGAGCACTCATATTTGGAAGCAAGATTTGTAACACCCGAGAGTACCATGGCAGCACCCAACTAAAAGGTTGGAAATTTCAGATTTTGTGATTTTCTTTTTTAGTTCGAAGTTTTCTGATAATTTTGGGGAAAAAATCACAAAAACCGTAGAGACCAAGCTGAAAGGATTTCGATATTCATATTTGGAGACCAAATTGGCAAACCCTGACAGCATCCCACTTCCACTATTAGATTGCTAACTTTAAACATAACGGAATAAGCACTAAATTTAAACTAGAAAATCGGAAAAAAATGTAATATACGATATAGCTTAAACGTGAAAAAATTCTTTCGAATATATAAACAAATTAATTCTTTATATATTTGTTTTATTTACTGAAATAATAGATAAACTGGTGTGAGTTGTGAAAGTCAGCAATTTCAGGTTAACTAGCTTCATTCAGATTCGATGGCCGAAAAGGATGATTCCAACAATTTAACATTAACTATAAATGAACGAATCAAACCTAAACGTTACGACAGAACTTGACGAAAAACCAAAGGTGTTTTCTACATTCTTCAAACTCTTTCGATCTTAAGGTTACATTGAAGTATATTGAACAGAAAACTGCATAAAAATACAAGGCAAACAAAAACCGTTAAAAAGTCTAAACGACAAACACAATCTGAAAACTGGTAAGTACAGTCCTTCGGTTGTTAGCCGAGTTTAAATTACCATTCCTGTCTAGCTTGGACATTTCTTGTACACAAAATTATGTTTTAAGTGAAAAAACGTTTTACGTTAGCAGCCATTTTGATCGCATTAAGGTAACCTTGAACATGCAATAAATTGTCGATTTAAACAGGCAAAGCTGCAAACAAGCGAGAAAACGGCAAAAAAGCTCGGAAGCGTTTACGCGCGCAAAGGCGAAGCAGCTCTACAAAGTGCAATAAAAAGTAGAAATAAGCCTCGAATTTCAGCGATCAGCGACCTAGAGATTATGAGTTTCACGAACTAACCACTCAACCACGAACGCTTAATCAATCACAAACACTAGCCACAAAGAAAGCAAAGAACAGATGCTATGAAATTTCCAATGCTAGAGATCGTGATTAAAACAAAAATGCCACCAGATAAGTGAACACTTTTATTAGCGAGTTGGGTTACAAAAACGAAGGTTCGTAATAATACACTAATGCTCGCAAGCTCGAAGGTGTGAAAAAAACAGATGAAGTAATGGCAAGACAAAGTCAAATAATATCAAGCGTCGAAAAACCATTCAAAAATAATGCTACTGAACGGTGAAAAAATTGTGAAATATAGTTTCTTTTTCAGGCTGTGTGATTGGTTTCTATGACTAAATGCTTGACGTCACTTATTTTTTAATTTCGACGTTCCTGTTTTGGTTTATTATCAGCCAAACGTTTTTAAAAACACTCGAGCCCGGAATTCGGGAATATATGCCTTAACCATTTAACCATGGCGCCTTTATTAATACTGCTTTCACGCATACTATATATTCCTCTTAGATATCAGGCAGCAAAGATTGAACTTCAATAAAGATATAGCTAGATCAAACTTAGCTGTGTTATGAACGCATGAAACTCGAAACTTTTAACAAACATGCGCGACTTGCGTTGGCATGACCGTATAACACTAAGCTCGCTCATCTAAATAAGACTTACACAACTGTAGTCCGGAATTCCGGGCAATCATTATTCCGACTTCTTTCTAACCTTTCAGTGGGAATTTGAGGCCACACTTGGGACACTCGAATGGCCTATACCCTGTGTGGAGCCATAAGTGTCTCAGAGTATCTGCTAGCCGATGAAATGTCTTTTCACACACGATACATTCCATCTGTGTTGAGTGGCAATGGTTGAAATGTTTCTTCAATTGGTCTCGTGTTATCTCCTCATTGCACAGTCTGCAGTTCACTCTCTCAGGACAAACTGCCACTTGAACAAAAAAAAGAACATCCTTCCACGATGTTACAAAAGAAAACATAGCCAACACACAGTGAAAAATGCATGTAAAAAATCGAGAAAAATAAAAAAGACTGCGTTTCACAGAACCATTCGCATCAGTTGAAAGCTCGGTCAGTTTTAACAAATCTTTTTGACTGATACAGGAAGTTAAGGTACCTTACAGCAAGTTTTGTAGATGATCGAATAAAGTACTATATCAAATCGTGATAAAATTTGAAAAAGATGCTTTTAAAGAGTTATGTTACGAGAAAAATTAGTCTGAATAGTATCGGTCTGGATGTGAACAGTTGATGTCTAAGTCTGAATTTGTTAATTTTAAGTTATTGTTCGTTTTAAGTTGTTTACACTAATATTGCCTGTTTTGAAGCAGAATCCCAAATCTCTTTTGCTTGAAAATATCCTAAGCTTCAAACCAGAAATGTTTGGAATTTACGTTTTACTTGAAAAAAAAAATAGTACGTTTTTCGCAGATTCTAATGTGGTCCAAACAATCTAGAGCTAGTAGCAAACACTCGACTGCTAGTCATCTAGTCAAATTTATCTACCGACTCCCATGCTATAAGTTTGTGAGACCCAATTCACTCCAAAATTGCGTCCTATCACCAACCTGTTTTTGACGTCGCCCTTTTCTTCGTCTTACTTGACACCAATGAATCCATACTGCTGACATTTTTCATCTTCGGAACATCTGATTCTGAGGCACTTCCATTACCGGTATTGCCACTGCCACTCTCGTCTTCCGAAAAATTGTCCTCCGAATAAACTATTTTGACAGGAGATAAATTTTCTTCTTTCACTGAAATGTCGATCGTTTCGCTTTTACTTGATTCTAGTGGCTCGTCTTTAACCTTGACTGTTTCGCCAATAAGATTACTTGGACTTAAAGAGAGAAAACAATCGCTTTTACTCTCGATTTTCGGTTTAACACGGGGTGCTTTTAAAGTGTCCCACAAATCAGGTGGCGGTTCTTTTCCCAGCTGACTGTAAAGTTGGAGAATATGATCTACAACATGCGATGGAATTTCGGACACAGTTGGTATCTTGTTTGAAGTAGCACTAGTTATGTCAGTAGTATTTTGGCCCTTCATTGTTTGCGCGAGCTCTTGATCACCTGATGCGGCTTCAGTTCTCTCCGGACGGTTCAGAGACATAATCAAAAAGTTTGTTGGAGTTTGCAATCAGCAAATATATTCTAAGAAAAAACTACCTTTCCGCCTATTCTTTGTAACTTATCATCTTAAATCTAAAACAACCCATATTACCTAAGGGCTATTTATTGGTAGCCTCACCATAGCGTTATTACTATAATTTTGAAACTACGATGATATATATTATTAATACTCGAGCTTTAAAATACTTTTCATTTGCAAGAACTAAAGACAAACATCATTTGGATGCAGGTCATTTGGGGTGTAAAATTAGCCATCTATGAATAAAAACTTGAGCCGATAGCAAAATTGACAGACTGCAAAAAAGGCCAGGGAGTGAGCGCGGTACACACACCACGTCGTTGCTTGTCACCGATGACCGCCAGGCCTGTTTTTAAAATGCTCGTGTCTCGGTTCTGACAAGATCGCAGTAGTTATCAGCCCGATTGCATTATTGTCTCATGATTTCGTATTCGGCTGACTGCTTCAACATTGAAGTGATAAAATTGCTTGCTTTCTTTAAATAATCAATTCTGATTGGCTTTCCATCATTCGCTGATTCTATCAGCGTTATTAATACTTGATGTAAGTCATTCGGACGTAAGAGACTCCAAGCTCTTTTTTACGCTCTTTCAACTTTTGTTTTTCGGTAAATATTTGCGAAGCAACTAAAATTTCAAGAAAAGTGTTTTTTAAATTTCTTTCTCGTCATTTTCAAACGCAGAAAACACTTTTTCTATAACAAATGATTAGCCATAAATTGCACAAAGAAGCGAAGCAGATTAAATCATTAAAGAACCTAACTATCATCAAAAATTGAAGCAGATTCTGAACTTTAGAAAAATACCCTGATTACGAACAATTTTCAAAAGCATGTAATTCAAAATGCGAAAAAATTGAAACCAACACAATTTGAAATTAGAGAAAAAAACTCTCAACCCGAAAATTTCTCACGCAAAGATTTAATAATTGTTGTTGCAATTAAGGTCTTTAAAATGATCAAATGAAACAACATCAAAATGCAATCAAGTATAGCCGGTTGCTGCGCAAGCAGCATAGAATATTCGGACTGCATTCATAAAAAAACTACGGAGAAGGTTTTTTTCATTACAAAAATTTTTGTGCGCGGTGATCAGAAAACTATATGAAGCAAAAAAATGAATTACGCAAAAACGAACAACAACAACAACAATTGTCTCAAAAAATGAACAACAAACAAAAAAAATTTAACACAATTGTTAAAAAAAAACATATTTTTTCTGCACAATATATTTTTTTGAGAAATCATTTATTGCGCTAAACGGAGCTTCCAAAACTCGTTATTAATTCAAGTTTTTTCGGCATAAACTGCCTATTTTCTTATAACGCACTTTGCTCGGTTGCTTTACTTGCTCCAAATTACACCAAAACTCAAAAATATCAAACCGGTTTTCCTCAACACTGGGACAACTTTTACAAAAGTTTTGAATCTTGAATAACGACTGAAAAGGCTTTCTTATGATATATCACTCAGACATATTCAATGATAATTCGTGGTACTTGATTTTGCGCAGAAAAAAAACAACTTAAACCCGAATACAAAGTTTCTCTTTTTCGTCAATGGTCGGGACAAAAAAAGTTCCAAGAGTATCTATTAAATCATTTATTCAACCTCGGCGTTTGTGAAACCCAATCACCGGCGCCACTAGTAAAGGTCTTCAAAACATGGACTTCACATAAGCGCTGACTAGGCCGGACAATCGATTCAACTGTACTTCAAAGACAAAGATCAATATTGAAAAACTCAAATATCTGCAAATCACACTTGATATTCTGAAACTGTGGCACATTTTGTGATTTTAATTTAGTTCAAGAGACACTAAAAACCTAAATAACAACAAAAAAAGATTATTCCAAAAAGGTCAAACTTTCAGGCAGATTGTTTTTCACTGTAGAAAGTATAGTTTCCAATATGACAGATACTTAAACCTAGAGTTAATTGATATTTTCAAATGAATTATAACAACTAGAAGTAGCAAATGAGAATTAATGAAACTTAAGCCGAGAAAAAAGAAAACTGAGAGCAATGAAACCAATAACTCGAAGAAAACAACAAAATTTCAACCGTTTGTATATAAACCAAAAACAACTGAGAAATGCACAGTGCAAAATGCGACCAATAAACCGGGATAAAGAGGATGAAAATAAAAGAGAGCTTGTTCAGGCACTGAATCCATATATGACGTCACCTGCAGAAAACCGAAATCAGCGATTAAACTTTTTCACCGAAAGGTCTAGCACGCAGTTAAAATACACCGCGATTGTATAAATTATCAAACATTGATACAAACCACAAATTATCAATATAAAACGATGCTTGAAACCTTTCAAAACGACGCAATATTAGCGAGCAAAGCGAATATAGTATAAAATGAAAGGGATAAAAACGTTATTAGGCTAATTAACATTTTGAGTTGATAATTTTCTGAGAAACATTTAACAAAAGCTTCGCAAACAAAAGCGAGAACACAAAAAAGCGGCTCTATAAAGTGCAATAAAAATAGAAATAAGCCTCCAAATAGCAAACAATTCAGCTACGTCTGAAAATTGAACCTGCGACCTAAATATTAAGAGTCGCACGCCCTAACCACTCAGCCATGGAAGCTTAATGGTTAATAGCCCAATATTAGTCACAAACAAAGCAGAGAAAAGATGCTATGCAATTTGAAACGATACAGTGAAATTTACAAATAAAAGAACACTACTATTTGCGAGTTAGGCTAGAAAAAAAAGAAAGTTCGTAACAATACACTAAGCTGACGCTAGTGTAAACATTAACAAGAAACAGTTAGAGAAGTTGCAATAAATAAATGAAAAACATAGCAAAATAGTTCACTTTTTCAACAGATTCACATTTCAACTAAATATATCACGTTGAAGCTCTTTAATTTTCAAGAAAAATTCACAATAAGATTCGTTTTCATTAAACAGCAGATATAGATAAAACAGGCACAAAAGGTAAACGTTTATCACACTGAATTACTTGAAAACCACTTTCGCACCTAAAAATCGATCACGTTCTTTCCTTTTTCAATTGATGAGCGCATTTTTTTTTCTTTAACAAATGATTTTGAATTGAACCGAGAATTATATCAAAAATCAAACGTAAAAAAAAAAAATTGGCGTAATCAAATCTGATTAATTCCTTGAAAACAATATTACAACTTCTGAGTGTTTTCACGACGTTCACTGAAGTCCTGTGAACAAGGTTTTCAACGCGAGAAAATGTACCCGATGGAAAACGTTTGATAATCGCCAAGCTAAATACGAGTTATTAGTTAATCATGTCGTAAAAAGATTTAAAAAAACTCAATACTTCATAGAAATACAGAGAAACATAATTTCATTCACTCTTTGCTAAATTCGAGCATGAAAAGCACCCGTTTTTCTCGAAAAGAGTTTAACTTATTTTTGATTCCGAGCTACACACCAGGAGAACTCATATTGCTAAACGACGCAATATGAGGGAGTAAAGCGAATTTAGTATAAAATGAAATGGATAAAAACGTTATTAGGCTAATTAACATTTTGAGTTGATAATTTTCTGAGAAACATTTAACAAAAGCTTCGCAAACAAAAACGAGAACACAAAAAAGCGGCTCTATAAAGTGCAATAAAAAAAGAAATAAGCCTCCAAATAGCAAACAATTCAGCTACGTCTGAAAATCGAACCTGCGACCTAAATATTAAGAGTCGCACGCCCTAACCACTCAGCCATGGAAGCTTAATAGTTAATAGCCCAATATAAGTCACAAACAAAGCAGAGAAAAGATGCTATGCAATTTGCAACGATACAGTGAAATTTACAAATAAAAGAACACTACTATTTGCGAGTTAGGCTAGAAAAAAAAGAAAGTTTGTAACAATACACTAGCTGACGCTAGTGTAAACATTAACAAGAAACAGTTAGAGAAGTTGCAATAAATAAATGAAAAACATAGCAAAATAGTTCACTTTTTCAACAGCTTCACATTTCAACTAAATATATCACGTTGAAGCTCTTTAATTTTCAAGAAAAATTCACAATAAGATTCGTTTTCATTAAACAGCAGATATAGATAAACCAGGCACAAAAGGTAAATGTTTATCACACTGAATTACTTGAAAACCACTTTCGCACCTAAAAATCGATCACGTTCTTTCCTTTTTCAATTGATGAGCGCAAATTTTTTTTCTTTAACAAATGATTTTGAATTGAACCGAAAAATATATCAAAAATCAAACTGTAAAAAAAATAAAATTTGGCATAATCAAATCTGATTAATTCCTTGAAAACAATATTACAACTTCTGAGTGCTTTCACGACGTTCACTGAAGTCCTGTGAACAAGGTTTTCAACGCGAGAAAATGTACCCGATGGAAAACGTTTGATAATTGCCAAGCTAAATACGAGTTATTAGTTAATCATGTCGTAAAAAGATAAAAAACTCAATACTTCATAGAAATACAGAGATCCATAATTTCATTCACTCTTTGCTAAATTCGAGCATGAAAAGCACCCGTTTTTCTCGAAAAGAGTTTAACTTATTTTTGATTTCGAGCTACACACCAGGAGAACTTGAATTACACAAAATCAAGCAAATTGAGAAAAATTGAATCAAGCTCATCAAAATCTTGAAACAAAAAAATCAAATTGTTTTTAAAAACCCTATCACGCTATGTTAAATGGGAACACATACAATTCTCAACTAATAACGCGTTAAAAAAAAGTCCATTCAAAAAGGCACGATTATTGAGGCGGATTCCTTCGTCGCCTCCGCTACGCGTTAATTTCAAGTGAAAACCGGCTAATGGCCTGCATTCATTATCCCATAATGACAATTATTTTTCAAACCCCAATAATTTTGTATCAAAAGATGACAGGTCAAATATCTTATCGATTTCTCGCCCACGGCAACATTAACAATCAGAATAGAAAATAATAAATAACCTGTATTGAATTATTCAGCATCGTTTGTAATTGATCGCTAGATTATATGCATCGATAGTAAAAAAAATACCGAACACAGAAAATGAACAGAAAAAGGTGCGGCTTAGATTGATAGCAAAATGAATTTGGAATATAAATCATTCTTTCACAAAAATTAATTGAGATACTTAAAATGGCGGTGAAAAAACTTGCATGAGCCATGAAACTTTCCCACAAATTGGAATTATTAGGTTTTGCTATATTTGCTATTGTCTAACCATAGCCAACAGTTTTAAAAACATTTAGAATAAACAGAAAAAATGACTAACTGTTACCAACCATATTCAGCAAAAAACATCAATTTGAAGCTCTGCAAACCACAAGAATTTATTTTTTTTGACATTTTTTCAACAAACTAACCCAATTTGAGAAAATTAGGATAAAATAGCTATCATTCATACCTTTGGGAATCCCAAAAACACAAATCCATCTTTCTGCTGTTTGCATATTTGATATCGAAGAGCATACTAAATTCCTTTTACCAAAAAAATGAATTCAGCAAGAAAAAACAATCAATTAACGAAAACTGATTTAATCGACATATTTTCGTCCGCTGGGAAATCTTAAACTGAAATCCCGTTTTGAAACTAGAAGTTCATTTTCTTGAAATGAACCTATAACTACTTAAGTCAAACCAAAAAAACTAAGTCAACCCAAAATATGAATTTGAGCGTGAACAAACTTCAAGGTTGCTTCCTAAAAAAATCTGACCTAAATCAAAGAGAACTGATATGTTTCATTAACACTTCTGAAGCAATCGTTAAAAGACATCGTATAGCAGAATACTTTATTTTTATTTGAAATTTAGCATGTAGTTTTTACCTATTTTACAACCCGAAATTCATTCACAACCAGCTTCAGAAACGTCCGGTGGTTTGACGCCAACACATCCGTAGTTTATCAAGTCAATATAATCAGACCATTGCCAGGTGTTGCAAACTGGGTTGTAAATCAGTCCTCTGCTTTCCAGAACATCAAGTCCAGATGTTTTAAGCATTGCGTGCATTGATTCAGGAGTGACGCATTTGTCGTGTTCGTGGGTTCCAGCCGGAACTATTTTCAGGATATACTCGGCAGCGATTATTCCGAACAGGTATGAGAAAATGTTTTTGTTGAGAGTCGTGACAAACAGTTTGCCTTCGGGTTTCAGAAGCGATTGGCAAACCTAAACATGAAAACTATTCAGAACCAGAATGGAAGTACTTTAGATATAAATTGAGATTCAAGCTCATTATTCATGTCAGTAGAAAAAAGTCAGGATAATTTTTATTTCATCCAGATGAAAAACCAATTAAACGATAGTAAGTGGTAGTTGGTTGACAATACAATAAATTATAAAAAATTTCCTAGTTTAAACAAATTGAGTTTGCTATCATTGATTAAAACCAAAGGGAGGTTATCTATGCAACCCTATGTTCTGCCTCATTAACGGAGAAAATAACGCATACTATAAATTGAGTTTACTGAGGCGGATTAATTCATTGAGTCCGGTTCAAGAGGTTGAGTCGACCAAGTTGATTTTCCGAGCTTTCCCCAAACAGAAAAAAAAAACCAGTTTGTCAAAAAAGTTATTTCTGGTTGAGTTTAGACCCCCCCTCATTTAGGCGTTGAAAAGTGACGAGAAAATTCAAAATTCGTTCGGCACAATTGGTGAGTACTATGTCGCTAATATGTTGCTCGTCTGAAGCGTCATTTATTGTTTTTGATGGTGCTTTAAAAATTACAAGCTTGTTGTAATTATGTTCCAATTGATTTGCCAGTAATATGCTACAATTAGTCATACTTGATTTTTCGCTTGTTACCAAGATGATTCAGATGCGGTCATAGATGAACAAAGACTATCTAAATGAACACCTATGGTTCGAAAAAAAGCTTTATTTTAAATGACTAAAAAGAGAACCATGTCAACATTTAAACTCGAGATTACGTCAGACAAATGTTAGTCAACGTAGTATTTACGTAATACTGTCAGGCCTCTTTAAACATACCCATTTTTCACAGATTGACGACATGAAACGCAGTTAAAAAAAGGTAAGTAAAATTTCAAAAAATCATTTTGCAGTTTTACTACTACCTGCTAAACCTTCTCAAAAAAACTCAAAAATCAAACATTTTCTTAAAATGTCATTTTTTCTTCCGAAATTCATTCTTACATCAATTTTTTTGGCTTCGACAAATGCCAAACCAATCGGAAATAAAAACCTCAGCACAATGTGTTACTCAGGAGCAACTATTTCGTTGCTGGGAAGTGAGTCATACTATCGCAATGGCAAGTGATCAATTAATTTGATAAGTCAATTTCGAATAGTTTTTCTGAGAAACTCGAACACATGTGCAATTTGAAATATGAATTTTATCCCAAACAATACTAAAAATTTAGGGAAAAAGAAAAAACACCTCTGAAATTAAATATTTATCGTAAATACATTTTCAATAAACAATTAATTTCAGGGGTGTTTTAACTTTTTCCCTAAATTATTAGTTGTTCGGGATAAAACTTATAATTCAAAATGCAAATATGTTCGAGGTATCATGAAATCGGCTAGATAGGCACTGAAATTGGATTTAAACAGGAGATATTTCTAAACTCCTTCGAAAAACTTGAAGGTTTGGTTGACCTAGGTAAAGTAAAAAGAGTTGCTTAGGCACAATTAAAATGTCATAAAAAGTAAAAAAAAGGACACTTCAGTCTGCATCAGTCAAATTCCTGATGGGGCCGAGTGCTTACAGAATCTGCCCCTAAAAGTACGGTTAAAAGGCAATGATCTTCAAATTTTTTAATCTGATTGTTTCGACCACTGAAAGTGGTGAAAAATTTGTATCCGGGTGTTGTAATGTAATTAGTAATTATTTTTCTTTTTTTGTCGATGTAAAACCAAGTAACACAAATAAATGTCAGAATAGGTCGCGCAATATATCAGATTTAAGACGTGGCAGTCGTAAATCGAGCCCTATTAAAAAACCCGCAGTGTAGAGAAAAACCGGTTTAAATATTTTGCCTGTTGGTCTTATTTCAACCGAAAAAGAGAGCGAGCAGGCTTATTATACGGAAAATTTAAATTTAATCAACGAATAGTAGTTTTTGAAGCTTCTTTTAGCGCCTTCTTGACAACAAAAAAGTCCAACATCCTCAATAAATTTGAAAAAAAAAAACATTTTTAAACTTTTTTTTGTTCTTCTATTGACTTTTTGATGACAACCATTATGAAATATGCGTATTCTTCTCGTACAATCGAAGATTTTTTTTAGGCTTTCACTCAGATCCCATCATAGCCGAACGAACAAAAAACATCACAATTTGCAAAAAAAAGTTCTTTTATTTTGTCGTCGGAACTTTCTGTGCTACTTGCACAGCAACCGGCTCTCCTCGTCTTTTTTGCCTTCAGTTATCATATCATTTTTTTTCAGGACTTTACGACGAAGCATCGCGGATCCTAAACCAGTATGTGAACACTGAACTCAACAAAAACAACTCAGATACCAAATACAAGCCTTCAATTTGCTACAAACACGTATCCAATAACTGCGGTGAATTCAGTTGCACGAGTATTGCGAGCTGGGGCGACGGGTTCAGTACTACTTCCAACGCTTTCGTCATTCTTCCTACAACTGTCAACTCCATGTGCGAATCAACATGGAAACAATTCACAGTTTCGATATGTGGTAAAGAAACGACTGTTCATCTTCCAACTGGACTGAAGCACAGAGTTCTCTAATGGATAGCATTGTAAACATGCGAGACGACATGTGACCACGCAACTAATTAGTTTTGACCACGCAGTCCCAGAGGTCCTGTGCTGCTCCATGAGTTCGATGGGATGCTCATTTTTGGAAAAAAAAGTTCGAAGAAACTATGCCATATCACCAGGAAAAGTAAGCGCAGCTGTGACTCAGAAACAATGATAAAACGCTCACACACTGATTAACTTTAATGAAGTAAATTTTTATTGATAAAATGAATATAAGTTGTCAATAAAAGAAATATTTGTAATAAGAATACGTTTGAGAACACGAATTAAACACCCACGCTTATCATGCTTGTCGTGTACATTATTTGCTTCATATTTGACCACACTACGATGGTTCACTACAAACATACACAAATTCGCCCTTTGCATGTACAGGCAAAAAAAAACAGCAACAATCAATAATTATCAACAAGGATAGCCGGTTACTGTGCAAGTAGCACAATGTTCCGACCATAGCCCAAAAAACTCAAAAAGTTTTTTTTATTAGTGACGTTTTTTTTCTGTGTGATGTGATAAAAAGATCTGAATGAAAAATATAACTTGAGCATAGTCGACATTCATAGAAAAGTAGACCAATTCGAAACAGTTTTAGAAGAAATATATATATATATATATATATATATATATATATATATATATATATATATATATATAATATTTTAAATAAACACAGGCATTGATGGATTATCTTTCAACAAACAAAAATTTATGTCAATTGCGGGAATAGAACCCATTCCATTAATTTTGCTGGTGCTCTGCGTTCAGAATTTGGAAAAGAAAAACTTAAAAGCTCCAGGCCGAAGTGTACATTTAGTTTCTTTCATAACATACTATACAAAACAAAGAGACGACTGACAATTAATTCCTTGAAAACAATATTACAACTTCTGAGTGTTTTCACGACGTTCACTGAAGTCCTGTGAACAAGGTTTTCAACGCGAGAAAATGTACCCGATGGAAAACGTTTGATAATCGCCAAGCTAAATACGAGTTATTAGTTAATCATGTCGTAAAAAGATTAAAAAAAACTCAATACTTCATAGAAATACAGAGAAACATAATTTCATTCACTCTTTGCTAAATTCGAGCATGAAAAGCACCCGTTTTTCTCGAAAAGAGTTTAACTTATTTTTGATTCCGAGCTACACACCAGGAGAACTCATATTTCTAAACGACGCAATATGAGGGAGTAAAGCGAATATAGTATAAAATGAAATGGATAAAAACGTTATTAGGCTAATTAACATTTTGAGTTGATAATTTTCTGAGAAATATTTAACAAAAGCTTCGCAAACAAAAGCGAGAACACAAAAAAGCGGCTCTATAAAGTGCAATAAAAATAGAAATAAGCCTCCAAATAGCAAACAATTCAGCTACGTCTGAAAATCGAACCTGCGACCTAAATATTAAGAGTCGCACGCCCTAACCACTCAGCCATGGAAGCTTAATAGTTAATAGCCCAATATTAGTCACAAACAAAGCAGAGAAAAGATGCTATGCAATTTGCAACGATACAGTGAAATTTACAAATAAAAGAACACTACTATTTACGAGTTAGGCTAGAAAAAAAAGAAAGTTCGTAACAATACACTAAGCTGACGCTAGTGTAAACATTAACAAGAAACAGTTAGAGAAGTTGCAATAAATAAATGAAAAACATAGCAAAATAGTTCACTTTTTCAACAGATTCACATTTCAACTAAATATATCACGTTGAAGCTCTTTAATTTTCAAGAAAAATTCACAATAAGATTCGTTTTCATTAAACAGCAGATATAGATAAAACAGGCACAAAAGGTAAATGTTTATCACACTGAATTACTTGAAAACCACTTTCGCACCTAAAAATCGATCACGTTCTTTCCTTTTTCAAATGATGAGCGCAAATTTTTTTTCTTTAACAAATGATTTTGAATTGAACCGAAAAATATATCAAAAATCAAACTGTAAAAAAATAAAATTTGGCATAATCAAATCTGATTAATTCCTTGAAAACAATATTACAACTTCTGAGTGTTTTCACGACGTTCACTGAAGTCCTGTGAACAAGGTTTTCAACGCGAGAAAATGTACCCGATGGAAAACGTTTGATAATTGCCAAGCTAAATACGAGTTATTAGTTAATCATGTCGTAAAAAGATAAAAAACTCAATAATTCATAGAAATACAGAGATCCATAATTTCATTCACTCTTTGCTAAATTCGAGCATGAAAAGCACCCGTTTTTCTCGAAAAGATATTAACTTATTTTTGATTTCGAGCTACACACCAGGAGAACTTGAATTACACAAAATCAAGCAAATTGAGAAAAATTGAATCAAGCTCATCAAAATCTTGAATCAAAAAAAATCAAATTGTTTTTAAAAACCCTATCACGCTATGTTAACACATACAATTCTCAACTAATAACGCGTTAAAAAAAGTCCATTCAAAAAGGCACGATTATTGAGGCGGATTCCTTCGTCGCCTCCGCTACGCGTTAATTTCAAGTGAAAACCGGCTAATGGCCTGCATTCATTATCCCATAATGACAATTATTTTTCAAACCCCAATAATTTTGTATCAAAAGATGACAGGTCAAATATCTTATCGATTTCTCGCCCACGGCAACATTAACAATCAGAATAGAAAATAATAAATAACCTGTATTGAATTATTCAGCATCGTTTGTAATTGATCGCTAGATTATATGCATCGATAGTAAAAAAAATACCGAACACAGAAAATGAACAGAAAAAGGTGCGGCTTAGATTGATAGCAAAATGAATTTGGAATATAAATCATTCTTTCACAAAAATTAATTGAGATACTTAAAATGGCGGTGAAAAAACTTGCATGAGCCATGAAACTTTCCCACAAATTGGAATTATTAGGTTTTGCTATATTTGCTATTGTCTAACCATAGCCAACAGTTTTAAAAACATTTAGAATAAACAGAAAAAATGACTAACTGTTACCAACCATATTCAGCAAAAAACATCAATTTGAAGCTCTGCAAACCACAAGAATTTATTTTTTTTGACATTTTTTCAACAAACTAACCCAATTTGAGAAAATTAGGATAAAATAGCTATCATTCATACCTTTGGGAATCCCAAAAACACAAATCCATCTTTCTGCTGTTTGCATATTTGATATCGAAGAGCATACTAAATTCCTTTTACCAAAAAAATGAATTCAGCAAGAAAAAACAATCAATTAACGAAAACTGATTTAATCGACATATTTTCGTCCGCTGGGAAATCTTAAACTGAAATCCCGTTTTGAAACTAGAAGTTCATTTTCTTGAAATGAACCTATAACTACTTAAGTCAAACCAAAAAAACTAAGTCAAACCAAAATATGAATTTGAGCGTGAACAAACTTCAAGGTTGCTTCCTAAAAAAATCTGACCTAAATCAAAGAGAACTGATATGTTTCATTAACACTTCTGAAGCAATCGTTAAAAGACATCGTATAGCAGAATACTTTATTTTTATTTGAAATTTAGCAAGTAGTTTTTACCTATTTTACAACCCGAAATTCATTCACAACCAGCTTCAGAAACGTCCGCTGGTTTGACGCCAACACATCCGTAGTTTATCAAGTCAATATAATCAGACCATTGCCAGGTGTTGCAAACTGGGTTGTAAATCAGTCCTCTGCTTTCCAGAACATCAAGTCCAGATGTTTTAAGCATTGCGTGTATTGATTCAGGAGTGACGAATTTGTCGTGTTCGTGGGTTCCAGCCGGAACTATTTTCAGGATATACTCGGCAGCGATTATTCCGAACAGGTATGAGAAAATGTTTTTGTTGAGAGTCGTGACAAACAGTTTGCCTTCGGGTTTCAGAAGCGATTGGCAAACCTAAACATGAAAACTATTCAGAACCAGAATGGAAGTACTTTAGATATAAATTGAGATTTAAGCTCATTATTCATGTCAGTAGAAAAAAGTCAGGATAAATTTTATTTCATCCAGATGAAAAACCAATTAAACGATAGTAAGTGGTAGTTGGTTGACAATACAATAAATTATAAAAAATTTCCTAGTTTAAACAAATTGAGTTT